TCTAAAATGCGAACAGAAATACGCGCTCATTTACAGAAAAGTGAGTGGGTCCAATTTCATTGGTCTTAAAAAGTGGGTGGGTCTTGTCCCACCCATATACAATGGTTCCGACGCCTATGGGAGAATGCAATATTATGTAGAGGACTCATATTTTAGCCGGAAGCAACGGTTTAAAGTTAAATAGATCTTGATGGATTTGTTTATTACAAACATGCAGCTTGTGGATTACTTAGATTGCTTGTGGATTATTGAGATGTTTTCTTCAGCTGTTTGAACTCTCATTCTGACGGCACCCATTCACTGCAGAGAACCCATCGATGAGCAAGTGATGTAATTCTAAATTGACGAAATAAACTCATCTACATCTTGGATGACCTAAGGGTGAGTAAATTTACAACAAATTTTTATTTTTGGCTTTAAGCTTTGTATAAAGGGGTAAATACAGCTAAAATATTACTGTGAGCAACAACTTCCTATATCAGTACAATTTTAATCTTTTAACCTGCATGATTTTAGGTGGATTTTTTTTTTGTTACTTAGCGGAATTTCATTTTACTTATATGAGTAAAATTAAATCAGTGTATTACCCCTGTCGGTGTCTGTTGGTCAGCACTTATTTTCACCGACTGAACATTTCTGCGTTTGTTAGGTCTTGGAATGTTTGAAAAGTGAAATACAGTAATCAGTTGGCGTTGGTCTGTGTCTGTCAGTGCAGTGTAAATTGGCCTTAAAAATGACAACAGGTGAATAAACCACACTCTCCCAGTTGCCTTCAGCATGAGTTGTTGGCACAGCAGGGTGCATGTTTATTTGTTTGCAATGATGTCCTTAACTTGCTGTAATCTTAATGCTATTTAAATTACAATACTGCACTCCTTTTAAAAGGTTTTAGCTGCTGGTACACATAGGCCAATTCAAGACAGTCTTCTACTCACTGCTTCAGAAACCATGCTGTGTCAATTGTTGCTTTAATTTTTAACTAGAGAGGGATTTCTTTTTATCCTGTTGAACTTGCTGTTTAAGGAGATTTGTTATAAATGCACAATTTTGATACGCAAGACACTTTAAAAAAAAAACTTTTCACATTTTGCCTCTAGAACTGACTTGTAAGAATAAAATCAAAGTCTTGTATTTCATTTTCCTTTGTGTCTGTGTTTAGCATCATTCTTCTTTTAATCTTATAAAATTACCTTGGATCTTAAAGGGATAGTTCACACAAAAATGAAAACTCTGGTAGTATTTACTCACCATTATGTCATTCCAAACCTGTATGACTTGGAAGGAACAGAAAAGAAGATATTTTGAATAATATTTGAATAATATGTATTTATCTTTTATGCAATAAAGGCCAGCAACGTTGGATCCCATTGAATTTCATTTTATGGAAAACATCTTAAGATATTTTTGTGCTTCACAGAGAAAGTAAGTCATAGAGGTTTGGTGACTCACATGACTGTGAGTAAATGATGACAGAACTTAATTTTTTTTGGTGAACTATCCCTGTAATTGTAACTGATGCTCCTGCTCTAGGATATGTCACATCAATGTAATACTTTAATTTCTCATTCTACCTTTTGAATCGGGTATTACTAAAGGATTTCATGCACAATTTTTACAGTATCTCACATCATCATTCAAAATCTTATTACACATGGATGTGCCAATGTCAAAAGAATGACTTATTCTGTTTTCTCTTATTGAGAACAAATAAAGCAGACATTCAGAAAAGTGCAGATGGCACATCTGACAATATCTCCATTCCACCAGCCAGATTATTTCCTCAGACAAGTGACAGGAGAGAAACCTTCTCCAAGTCCTAAGAGATGAGACCACTGAGTCAAACAAGACAGCAGGAATATCTAGAGACAAGAGATACAGGCTGTCGGATTGTTAAATTAGAAGTACTTGGCATCTACACACATCCCCTATGGGAGAAAAGCTGTTCAAGAAACCCATCAAATATACAAGTGAAATCAGAAACCTAATGGCCAAGGACTGCTATATGCACCCGCAAAATAGCCTTACAGCTAAGATGCTCAAAAATATATGCAATAAAATGTTGCTTAAACCACTTATGCTCTGGGGTGTTTTTTGGTATTTTCGGCTAAATTTGACATACTCAAATTCAAATGTTTACCCTACACACATACAATGGAGGAAATGAAAAAAATGGTTTCATTGTAAAGAAAACCGAAAAAACGTCGCAAACACGCTCATAAAGCCTCACCAGACGCGCTGTTCATTCCTCTCCACGGCGCCGCTGAACGCTCTTCACCATATATAACTTGTAATATGATTATCATAGATTGATATTATCCGAGACGCATGTGCAGTACCCTTTCCGTGAGGGAAACTCGCCTTCAAAACATTCCAAAAACTTTTTACGTTTCAAAACAAAGATTCAAATATAAAAAAACGTCGCAAACACGCTCATAAAGCCTCACCAGACGCGTTGTTCATTCCTCTCCACGGCGCCGCTGAACGCTCTTCACCATATATAACTTGTAATATGATTATCATAGATTGATATTATCCGAGACGCATGTGCAGTACCCTTTCCGTGAGGGAAACTCGCCTTCAAAACATTCCAAAAACTTCAGACTCCAAAACACCCAGCAGTAAATTCCCGGATGTGAAGACCCCCCTCTCCCCCCTCTAGTGACGCAGCGGTGTCAAATTTCACGGCTCTGAAATGGCCGCTGAGTTGAGAGACATGTAATCTGACCAACTGCAGTCCACAACCGAACACAGATCTCTATAACATCAGACGCGCTGGCTGAGAGCGCTTTTGATATGGGGAGCGCGTGTGTGCCAGACGCGCGTCTATTGCGCAATCTGGACAAAACGCTATATATCTCACCGGTGGAAGCACGCAGAAACGTGAAAATTGTCTTGTTTGAAAGAAGAGATCCTAATCTAAAAGATAATATAGAGTATATAGATATTTGTGGCTGTTTGCGGCTGACTGAAGCAGTGCTACGAGTATAAATGTAAATTCGCTCAGAGGTGACAAAATTTTACATCACGATTCTATTGAAGATAATTCGATCTGTGATTGTCACACAATGAAATAGTCTACATCGTCAAATTCCTGAGAATGAGAGCTTTCTTGTGATATATGACTTAATATATAGAAAAATATATAAAATACACATTCTTCGTAAAAATTATTCGCAATGGTTAGGCAGAAATTTGTGTGTGGGACGAATACATTTCTAAGCTTTATTTTACTGCTTTATGAATATAAAAACCAAAATGTATGGTATTCTTTGTAAAGAAGACACTCCAAGCTTTCAAATGAACCCATATATGGGCTGATACCATATAAGGAAGGCTATGTAAATGAAGCATAAAAATTTTTAACGCGAGTTCGCAGAGTTTAACTTTAACTGCTCTCAGAACACAATTACATCTGGAGAGTTTTCATTAAACTACATGCTTTACATGAATCCAGGGGTGAGCTAAAATGCAATTGAATAAATGCATAAATCAAACATAGGTTTATAAACATGCCACATGTATTATTATCATACTAATACAAATCTGTAATTTTTTTTTTAGAACAAGTAATTAATTTCAGGTTAAGTCTAAGCAGGGCTGTCAATCAATTAAAAATTAATTGATCCTTGTATTCTATCTGCAATAGTTTTAAACTGCTGGCCTACTGTAGACGTTTGTCGCTGTATTTCAGCATCTTGCGTCTTGCATTTTAAAGATGCTCTTTCAAGTTCATGATTGTTTTTTTAACACAATTTTTTAAAAACAATTAATTGCACTAACATGTTAAATTGAAAGGCCTAATTATACTATTTTATGATTCACTTGCATCATTTAATACAGTAATAGCAATAGATATGCTAATAGTGAATAAATGCAATTCTATTAACAAGCCTCTTGACATTCAAGCCTTTTGAATTCATATGCAAATGACTTTAGCAATACATTCAAGCATGGTCATATTTACTAAATATATAATGGAAAACGTAATAGTGCGATAGTTTGTGACCTTTAATACATCTCATATTTGAGTGGTTATATATGCTCAGTCCATTATATTAATTATGGAATTATGTACAAGTGGTGACTGGCTCCCTCAAGATAATGTTAATTAGCATTACTGTTATGTGTTGAAAGGAACAATGACTAATATGCAGCAGTAAATTTCGCTGTTGCTGTGTGATTATGGAAATTACAACAAAGAAAAACATTAAATCCAAGCCATATGAAAATGCAGCTTTGATGTGACTCCCACATCATTCACATGTCAAAACTCATGAGTCCCGAGCATGTGATTCAAAGAGCATATACTCAAACAGAAAACCCAGAAAAGAGCTGCTGCTATATCATTTATAAATGATAACACATTAAATATTAAAAAACACCTGTAGCTGTTATTTACTGCAGGATCACATAAAATTGGCATATAGGAAACATACATAGAATTGACTTCTGAAAACATCTTTATGACTTCTGAACACATATTTGGATGTTTCTTCAACTATGGCACTTTAATTTCTCCAGAGATTGATTTTTATTAAAACACATTTAAACTTTTTCTTGTTTTATACAGTAAGGCCAAATGAAAAACTTTTACAACTTTTTACCATGCCCTCATTATTTAATTATGCAACTTTAAAAATTAAAAGAATCAGATCAAATGGCTCAGAAAAAAATTTGAAAATTCAAAATCACTGTAGGAAATTATACATGAATGTGTGTGTTTATTAAATTCAAACTGTAAGAGTACTACAGATGCTATTAGCTAATAGAATAATTTCTTGACAAAGTGCACTAAAAAAAAAAACTCAATCAGTATTTTTGTCTTAAGCCTCCATAAAACAAGAAATACTACTGAAAACAAGAGTTAATATCTTCACAATTCGGCTTCTCAAGCTATTTAATCTAGTTTTCAGAATTTTCACATATTATAAAACAGGACCAAATACTAAGAAAATTATCTTTTGCGGTGTAAAAAATACTGTAAATGAAACAATTCTCACCTCACTATAATTGGCACCAAGCTATTGTTCCTGATATTTTGTGGAGCAGCTGCAGTCAAAACATGAATGCCGCTGCAGCCCAACTTGGCCACTGGTCTTCCATTCTGGAGAAACACATGGAGGAAACGGACTCCAAAATTCTGCTCCCGGGCTGAAAAAGATGAGAAATATTTTTAGAGTTTATCATAATGAGATTTAGAGATGACCTGTTTTCTCACTATATATTATTACCCGACTCCTTCAAGCACATTGATTCATTCAGGAGCGAAACAAGTGCTTAAGAGTGAGTCAATGAATCACTCACTCAACTGATTTTTAAAAAATGCTGATTCATTCAAGAACAAAACAACTGACTGTTTTTATGATTGGGTCAATGAATCATTCACTCAGGAATGAAATGCTACTATGCTGTTGCTTGCAGACTTCGTTTAATACGATTTTTGCTTGCACAACAAAAAAAAACACAAAGAAACTTATAATAATGTGTCTAAACTGTAAGTTCCTAAATATTCCTTTATATTAACTTTATCTGACCATTCAGAATAGTTTTTTTTGTAATAAATCATTCAATTTCACAACAGCCAACAATAAGTGGTGAGAACAAATCATGAGAATTTCAGGAAATACAAGTATATTGTTTAAGTACATAAGCACATCATGGTTTACAGTGAGCAACAGCACAAGGTATCACAGCTAAATCAATAACCACCTATTTTATTCCCACTTGAGCTCCAGTAGTCACACAATAATATTGTGGAGCTTCCTGCTTACTGTGGCATATCTGGCAACAACCCCAGTAATTGCAGATGCATTTGGCACCTACTGCATCAACTACAGTTGTAGTTCTTCGTCTTTTTTATGTTAAGGGGTTGGTGTGTAAGGAAATGACAAATTACTCCTTATTGTCCCAATGGCCCTGTTACCCTGTACTGGGTCTAACGGTGCATGCATTCTCTTGTCAGTACCTGTCACCTGTTATATTCACAATTCCTCTTGTCGGCTGATGACTGAAGCCCAGCGGGAGTCTCACATTGTGCTCGCGGGAAGGTTTTGTTTGGAAGAGAGCGAACGGATGAGATGCAGGTGTAACTCTGAGCAGTTTTCTGCATTCTGATGCATGTCCTCTGATCAGCTTCCTTTGATTTCTAGAGTTCTACCTTTTCTTACATTCAGACAAGAGAGCTTCTACTGGGATGCACACCTGAGGGTTATGATCCACCAGCGGAAAAAACATTTGAACCCAAGAGGCTAATAATTGAATGATAGGCGAAATAAAATTTTATTCATTGAAGAATGAATTGATTTGTTATTACATTATAGATCAGATACCAGTGGTGTTTTGCTTCTTTTCTTGTAAGTTTCTTAGAGAGACATATAGTGGGGTTCAAAAGACTGAGACCACACTGTAATATAATAGCATTTAAATCAGGAAATAAACAAGTTTTATGGAAGATTTAAAAAAGGTTAGAAATGTTAAAAACAAAGAAAAGTTATGTCAATTGAATTTATTATTTCAGTAATCAAATAAGAAATTGTGACACTGAGTATGCATACTTGTAATGTAATACAGAATTAACAATTTTGTATTAAAATGAGAAATTTGCAAAATACAAACATTTTTACTAGCTGTCTCAGACTTTTGGACCCCAGTGTAAGAACGTCTCGGTTACGTATGGCAACCCTCGTTCCCTGAAGGAGGG